GGAATCTCACTAGGTTCCCTGCTCAGACATTTGTTTTTACTTAATCTACCCATTTAAATTTTTAAGCCACCCAAAAGCTAAAGATTTCTGAGCAGTTTACAATAAAATAAACTAAAACTGTAATTCAAATAAACACGAATATAATAAAATCAAGTAAAATGCAATATAAATCCCCATAGAAATTATGTAGTAGCAAGTTGATCATTTAAAATCTAAAAGAACAAGAATGAATATGTAATTAAAAGTAAATTTTAAAAAGCCTGAAGAAAAAAAATAGAAAGGTCTTCACCTGGCGCCAAAATGATGCTAAAGTGGGAAGGAATTCTATAAAAGTGATGTCCTCTTCCATTTCTCTATGGCTTTGTATAGATGTTAAAAACGAGTAAAGAGGGGAAGGAATATTTATAGTATTCCACAAAGTAGGCAAGGATCTAAATGATATGCATTTGTAGACAAGAACCTAAATGGTAATCACTCAGTTCCTAACTTTTTAGGATGACACTAATTGTCTAGCGAATGAAGGCAAATATACAAGTCCCCGATCTAATCTGGGACAGTCATCAGGACCAGATGTTTAATCTTCTGAGCTTTTGGACTCATGCTGGAGCCCATCCTAAGGGAACTTCTCTCTGATGGAATGACTGGGGTTAGTAGCACACAGTTTTTGTATTTTTTGGTGCTTATTTTGGTTTGATTTTTATATGTTTCTCATGAGATATTAATACATCTATACTATTAACCAACTGGAGACTGTGAATTTCAATAGCATGAAAGCAACATAGAAACGTAAATAAAATGCAAAAATAAAACATCACACATGAATCCAGCCTGCCTTCTTACTCATTCCTTTCTGGCTTCCTCCTCTAGCCCCATCTTGCTGTACATTATGAATTTACTGCAGTTCGCAATATTAATTTAATGTTACCCTCAACTGAATTGACATCCCTCTCTAATAATAACTAAAACTGTGATGAATGAGGAGGAATAATAATTGATGGAGATGCTACAATGGTATGGGATTCCTAACTGTTTCTGAGGCTGGAGCAATATTGACAAGCTAAAGATTTATAGGAAGATTTTCTATCACAAAATTGTCCCACTGTTCCTCCAAAATAGACAAGATTGCTGAGTTTGTAAATAGAAATAGAAAGAAGTTATTCTTGCTATAGGTAAGAAACTATAGCAAGTCTCATCATGACTGATAATCAGTGAGGTACTATCTCTAATTCTTCAATGCCAATTTGTTAGTTTATTTCTTCAGAATCTAATTAAGTGTAGTGTGTCCTACTAATGCAGTAGTACTAATGTACTAATACATTCCATCTGAAAATGGAAGATGCTGATAATCTTTAAATTCAGAAGAGATATTTACCTAATCTTTGGTTAAAATAGCTTAATTTGTTTTGGGTTGGTTGAATGAAAATGTACTATCAAGTCATTTTCAACTTTTAAAAACCACAGTTCTTTCAGGACTTTGAAGGGTATACTCATCTCCACTAGAAGTCAATCCATGTTGCTGCTGGCAATCTTCTTTTCCTTTTCCACATTCTCCATGATTAAAACCTTTTCCACTAAGCTAGATCTTCATTTAATGTGTGCAAAGTAGGTTAATTTGAGCCTGGTCCTTGTGCCCTGTCTGTGGAGTATATCTTGATTGCTTGTTTCTTGATTGCATGTTGATAGTTGATCATAAAGGGAGAAGCTACCCACCAATTCATTAGTTCCACTGCCAATTCTAAAAGTAATTGACATGAATTTGGTCCTTAGAATTGAATTGAATTGTATTCTATTCTTTAATCTCAATCCATTTTTCACATTGCTCTTTGACTTTTATTACTAGGGTTTACAGATCTGTTGCATTTTTAGCTCTCAAGGTAGAGTCATCAGTATATCACAGGTTGTTGATTATTTTTCTTCCAATTTTAAAACCACTTCTTCCAGTTAATTTCCCTTAATATATATTCATGAATAAACAATGGAGAGAAGGCAACTTTGTCACATTTGTTTGCCAATCTGAAATCAGTCTGTTTCACCATGTTCTGTCTGTACTGTGGCTTCCTGACCTGTATATAATTTTCCCATGAGAATAATGATGCATTGAGCACTTTTCTGAGCCATTTCCACAGCTTGACATTATCAACACAATTGAAACTCTTTCTGAAGAACCTACTGACTTATTTTTGCTATTCTTGGCTTTCTCAATTAGTAGATAATAATTGCAAAAGTGTTCGGCATGCATCAGCAATAATGTCTTGTGTTCCTTGACCTTTTCTAAAGCCAGCTCAAAACACCTGGTGTCTCTTTTTCAATCTAGGGCTGCATTGAATGATCTGTCTGTGTTTTATGAACAGGTGCTTTATGAACTGATGTTTACAAAATAAGTTACTGACTCTTGTACAATACGTGTGTGTGTGTGTGTGTGTGTGTGTGTGTGTGTGTGTGTTCCACCATAACTCTGGAATGCTTTGAGCAATTTCAACCAAACTTGGTACACAAATGACTTACTCTCTGGAAACAAATACTGTGGAGGTAAGACACCCCTAACACCCCTCCAGGGGGTGTTCTGTTAAGATACAGACTATTGTGCCTTAAAATGGCTTCTACTGTACAGCTCAATGGAGTTGCCATTGTAACAGTTTCAAAGTATTCCATAAGGGGACTCCCTCTGGTAAAGCGGAAAATCCAACATTAGAAATTACGTTTGGTCCTGGATTATTGTTGAGGACAAATGTATGAATTAGGATGAATAAATACCTGGGCAATGCCAGGTTATCAGCTAGTGTTTGATACAATTTGGAACTTTTTTCATATGTATTTATTTATATATTTATTTATTTTCATAGCAATTATTTTGAAAGTGCTACGTCCTGAGGTCTCGAGAAAGACTTGTCAATCAATGGGGAAAAAAGGAAGCCGTTGACTCTGGCGCGAGTGCAGGCTCGAGGAAACTGGGTGAGCTTTCTATTGGTTAACAGTTTGACAGCTCGCATATAAAAGGCTGTCAGTTAAGTTCATTACTT